TTGGTCAGTTTTGTTATCCTGCTAGACTTAAAATGATCCATCCTAGAGGCAGAAGGGGGGGACTTGACTGCCATCAGGAAGAGACAGGAGCAGAGCATGTCCTTAGAACCCAGGGTCCCTGCACTGGGAACATCCTAAGATCCAGGAGACAGAGTTGTAACACTAGAGATACAGTGAAAAGTTCCAGAGAAGCGACCACAGCAGAGGCAGCAGAACCAGGAGACCAGCAGGAAAGGGTATGGTGGGCTTCCTGGCCCATGGAGCGTGAAAGCTGAGTGCCTTTGGATCAAGGTTTACTGGTGGAGTGGAGTGCACCTGGGCACTTATTGGAAGAGCTAAAAGAGTTTTATAAACCTGGAGCAGGGCAGAGGCCAAAGGGCTATGGGGCTGAGGGCCAGAGAGAGACACACCTAGGCACTGCTGTGATTGTCCTGATCAAAAAACTGTATCCTGAGTCTTATCTGATCCTGATTTGTAATCTGTTACTTCCCTAATAAACCCCGTAATTGTATTGTCTGTAAGTGGCCTATGGTCAGTGCAACAAATTATAAGACCCAGTAGAGAGGTGGAGAGTGCTGTGGAAGGGATGGTTTGTGTCAGAATTTTTTTTTTTTTAAAAAGGTGGAGGATAGAGGCATGTCTGACCTCACCCTTGGGCTATTGATCTGGATTTTCCTCCCTCTTTGTGAAGTTAGAGGAGGTCAGATGCCTCCTCCACCCCATTTTTACTTAAATCTCTCTAGACTTTTTCTGGACAAATCTGCACTGATCCTGCAAATAATAACAGATTGTCTTATAGTTAGTTCCCCCTAAAAGTTTCCTGCTACAGATTTGTGTCCAGATACTTTTCTTTTGGTTAAAGTCCAACATTCAAAGTTGTCTACTGAAAGAGCTCTTCTGAATGGTACAAAATAATTGTTCTAAAAATAAGATACAAATAAAGGGGAAAACAGATACATTGTTTGGAATATAGCCTTTGACAAAAATACTAGAAAAAAGGAAAATATTTCTGTACCCTGTTGAAAAGCTTCTAGATGTAGAATTCTTTGCTCATATCCTACTTTCATAATATTCAACTTAAAGAAACAGAAGAGTCTATTTTTTTATGAACACTCTCTTACAGTGTCTAAAACTATCACAATCTAATAATATCACAAGAACAAATTTTTATTGCCCTAAACAGGAAAAGATCCATATTTTTGCCCATTCCAAAGAAAAGTGACCCAACAGAATGTGGAAATTATCAAACAACATCAGTAATATCACACGCCAAGTAAAATTTTGCTTAAGATAATTCAAAAACAATGGCAGCAGTACATCAACAGAGAACTGCCAGAAATTCAAGCCAGGTCCAAAAGAGGACATGGAATGAAGGTTATCATTGCTGATGCCAGATAATTCGTGGTTACAGGCATACCTCAGAGATATCATGGATTCAATTCCAAATTCTGTAATAAAGCAATTATTGCAATAAAGCAAGTCACATGAATTTTTTGGTTTCTCAGTGTATATAAAAGTTATGTTTACACTATACTGTGATCTATTAAGTGTACAATAGTATTATGAAACAGTTAGAAACATTGTGAAAATTACCAGAATGTGACAGAAAGACATGAAGTGAACACAGGCTGTTGGAAAAATGGCGCCGACATACTTGCTCAAAGAAGGGTTGCCATAAAGCTTCAATTTGTAAGAAATGCATTATCTTTACAAAGTGCAGTAAAGCTAAGCACAATAAAACAAGACGTTCTTGTACCAGAGGGATGTTTATCTTTGTTTTAATGACTATACAAAGGCATTTGTGTGGATCATAATAAATTACAGATAACACTGTGAAGGAATTACAGAACACTTATTTCCACTCATGAAGAGCCTGTACACAACCCAGAGGCAGTCATTTGAACAGAACAAGGGAATATTGCATGGTTTAAAAATCAGGAAAGTGTACATCAAGGTTGTACCTTTTCACCATACTTATTCAATCTGTAGGTTGAGCAGATAACCCAAGAAACTGGGCTATTTGAAGAACATGCATCAGGATTGGAGAAAGACTTATTCACAACCTACAATAAAGCAGATGACACAACTACGCTTGCTGAAAGTGAAGAGGCCTTGAAATGTACTGATAAAGAGAAAAGATTAGAGCCTTCAGTACGGATTACATCTCAACATAAAGAAAACAAAAATCCTTACAACTAGTCCAATAAGCAACAACATGATAAACAGAGAAAAAAATACTGAAGTTGTCAAGGATTTCATTTTACTTGGATCCACAGTCAATGCCCATGGAAGTAAGTAGCAGTCAAGAAATCAAATGACATACTGCATTGGGCGAAACTGCTGCAAAAGACCTCTTTGAAGTGTTAAAGAGTAAAGATGTCACTTTGAAGACTAAAGTACCTAACCCAAGCCATGGTATTTTCAATAGCCTCATATGCATTGAGTGCTGGACAATGAATAATGAAGACTGCAGAAGAATTTATGCATTTGAATTACGGTGCTGATGATTATCAAATATACCATCGATTACGAGAAGAATGAAAAAAACCTATCTTGGAAGAAAAACAGCCAGAATACTCCTTAGAAGTGAGGATGGCAAAACATCAGTTATGTACATTGAACATGTTTTTAGGAGGACTGAAGAAGACATCATGTTTGGTAGATAGCAAAAAGAAGATCCTCCACAAGATGGACTGTGACAGTAGCTGCAAAAATGGGCTTAAACATGGCAACGACTATGAGTATGGCACAGAACTGGGTAGTGTTTTGTTCTTTAGGTACACAAAGATTTCTTAAACAGGACATAAAAAGTATTATTTATGAAGGAAAAAAAAAAAGATTGTATTTAACCAAATAGAGCCTTTGTTCATCGTAAGCCACCATTAAGAGTACAAAAAAGCAAGTCATAGACCAGGAGAAGATATCTGAATATATGTATATGATAAAGGATTTATATCCAGAATTTATAAGTAAACCCTATAGATCAATAGAGTCAAGACAATCCAACAAAAAAAATATGAGCAAAATATTTAAACAGGTACCTCAGGAAAGAAGATATCTAAATGATCAATAAACTTATAAAATGATCAATTTTCTTAACATCCCTAGGGGAAGGCTTTGTGTATCCACTCTGGGGACAGCCCTTAGCGATTATGTGGTGTATAGCTTCCTCTACTTTTGCACTACCTTGATCTGCTTTATCATGTCTCAAAAGATTGACTTAAAACACACTCAATACCAACATTACCTTATAACATATGTTCAAAGAAAACACATTTCCAAATGGGATTATAACCACAGGCATAGGGGTTAGGATTTACAACATACATTTTGGAGACATAATTCAATCTACAATAGAAGCCTTGCAAATCAACAGGAAAAAACAAAACAAAACAAAATGGTGGGTAATCCAACTCAGTAATCAGAGAAATGTAAATTAAAACAAAATACTACTTGACAGCCGTTTAAGAATTAGATAATACCAAGTGTTAGTGAGGATATAAACAGGAGCTCTTATGCACAGCCATTCTTGTAGTATACATATATAATCTATGACCCAGGAGTCCCATTCTTGAGAACATTGCCCAGAGAAACCCTAGTAAAGGTTCAAAAAATGACCAGTGAAGACATTCATTACACAAACAGTAGGGAGTTAGAATCAATCAATGATTTCATCACTAACAAAATAATCTGTAGACATGGTGGATCCATATCATGCAGTATTATGCTATAGTTGCTGTCAAGTCAGTTCTGACTCATGGGAACCCCATGTGTGTCAGAGTAGAACTTTGTTCCATAGGGTTTTCAATGGATATAATCTTAAGAGCTCTGGTAGCATAGTGCCTAAGGCATTTGACTGCTAATCAGAATGCTGGTGGTTCAAACTCAATAGCCACTCCTCGGAAGGAAGACTGGGCAATCTACTTCTGTAGAGACTGCCTCGACTGGGCAATCTAATTCCACAGAGATACTGCCTCAGAAACCCAAGGAAGGGTTGCTATGGGTCAGGACCAACTTGACGGCAGTGAGTTTGTTTGTTTGTTTGTTTGTTTTTTTTTGGTTAATCTTACAGAGGGAGCTCTGGTGGCATAGTGCTTAAGGTATCTGACTGCTAACTAGAAGGCTGGCAGTTCAAACCCACCAGCCACTCCTCAGAAGGAAGGTTGGGCAATGTACTTCTGTAGTGATACTGCCTCGGGAACCCAAGGAGGGGTGGCTATGAGTCGGATCCAACTTGATGGCAGTGAGTAATCTTAGAGATGTACATCATCAGCCCGTTTTTCTCCTGGGGCTATATGGTGGCTATGAACCACCAAGCTTTTGGTTAGTAAAAGCAGTCACTCATAAATACAGCCACATGGATAGATGTCTAAAATCACCACTGAAAGAAAAATGAATTCTATATAGTTCAGTACCATCATGTAAATTAAAAAACACATATACAAAGCAGCATTGCAAAATGTGTAATACACACTTAAAGAGATATATCAAATATAGCAGTGGGGGACAGAGTTTAGGTGGGATGGGGAGGGAGTGGAGGAGTCACTATGAAGAGTAAGAAGTCAAATAAGTAAACTAAAAAGAGAGGGGCCTTGCACAGCCCATTGGTAATAATGTGCTAGGAAATGATAGAAATTTTGAGCAACTTTACTCCCTGTTGCTCAGGTTCCCCTCAAAATTCTCACTTTTCTTACAAATTAAGAAAGCTACATTTATGTAAATTAATCTACAAGTGACAGAAGTGCTCATTTAGCCTTTTATCAATAATACTAACCTGTCCTAGTTATAGCTAAGAAACTTGCTTTCATGCATTTCACAGCTTCTCAGTATCCATATTCTTGGAAAGAGAAGAGAATTTGTGCATCCTTCCTTCTGAGTCTTTGTATTCATTCAGCCTGGAGTTTAAATTTCCTTTCAGTCAATCCAAGAAGGATTAGCATGACCAAGCAAAGCAGGGTCCAAAGGCAGGAAGCAGAAGCAATATGATGCTATGGAAGTACCTTTCTGAACAGTCCCTTCTGCTGTTGCAGGGCCTTGGGGCAACCCTTCAATGTAGGTGGTTGGCAACAAGTCTGCTGAGATAGGCTGACCTTGTAGCTTTTGTAGTCTCTCTTGTACAGCACTTGTCAGATCTATATAAGCCTCATCGATGCTGGCACGTTCAATCACAGCAAAACGAGACATGACCTTCATCACTTCAACACTGGCTTCCCGGTACCTAAGGAGTATATGGATCATACATGTAGGCAATAAGTGTGATTGTTGGCCTTTTTCTCTCTCTCCCATAATGGAATGGTAAAATAATATACAAAGTAAGTGCAAAGTCTCTTTAAAGAGATGCATAGCTTGACAGAGACCAGATAATAACCCAACTGAAGGAGTGAGTAGGCCAATAACAGAAGCAAAGAAACAAAGAACCATGGAGGCAAACTATCACTTAGAAAGCATCCAGACCATGAACATGTCTGGCAAGGATCTCTCTAAAGAAAAAAGAAATCTCTCAGCACCAGTTTAACTAGGAAACATTTTACTCTGATCACTTAGTTCCTTTTGCTATTTTCATACATCCACCAGGCAGTCTTCTGCTTTTATTTCTGTCTTCAAACAAGAGGTAACTTACAAGGAAGACAGCACTGATCAATGGACTCAAGTATCTGGCCTTCCTCAGAATGTTGCTCATTATAAATTAATAAATGACATTATGGATTTTATACTTCAGTCATTGGTGAGTTTGGTTAACATAGAAGCTTGTCCTCACTTCCCCCTTTTCCTTCTCACCCCCCATCAAAGTTTGATCACTTCTGCATATACTAACATTCAAATGATCAAGCTGAAGTATCTACAATGTGGTGATCCATCTGGGTAGGCAGATAGCCTTTCCCAGAGGATACCAACCTAATGATATACCTTCTATCCAAAGCATAAAACCACAATAAGCAGGTCCTATATAACTAGTATTCAATGGCAATATGTGGATATTTTCTTTGCTCTGCTTTGGACTTGCTATGGAATTTAAATTAAGTTCTTTGTGTTCAGTCTAGTCCATTTACCATAGAAATGGAAATATTTATACCTTTTTCACTAAGATGCCTGTGAAAATTAGTGTGAAATATTATTCTAAAACGTTTTCACATGTGAAAAATCACAGAAAGACTTTGGCTTTTTTTCTTTTAATCATTATTTGGGCTAGCTGGAGGATTTGGGGGCAGTGGGGTATGGAATATACCCATACATAAAGAGACAGAAAAAAATACTCAATTACAGAATTAGGATTCCTTCACAGCCTCCTGAAGCAAATTACTAAGATATTATTTAAAACAGATAATCAACTTTATACAAAGTATTTAGTATATATAAGTTTCTACAAATAATATATTTATAATCTTACCTCTCAATTATGAAAATAAGTTTTTTTTTTAATTTTTTTAATTGTGATTTGGGTAAAAATTTACAAATTAGACATTTTCTATACAGCAGTTTGTACACAATTTGTCTCATGACATTGACTGCAATTCCCCACAAAGGAACAGCTCTCTTCCCACTTCCTCCCTGTAGCTACCTATTCCCTGTGTGCTTCCCTTCCATGCATTCCTGCCCCCTGAGCTGTCTCCCTATGCAAACACTGCCCTTCTATTCTCCCATGATTGATCACTCCAAGGAGTGTATCTATCTGATGTAAATATGCCTGTCTACTGCTTGGCTGGAAACCACAGGAGTGAGTTCAATTCCAGACCTGAAGGGTAGCTAGAAGCCATAGTCTCAGGGGTCTCACCAGGCTCTGTCAGACTAGCAAACCTGGTCTTTTTTTTTTTTTAAATAATTTTGAGTTTTGTTGCACATTGCTCCCCCACTCTATCCAGGATCTCCTGCACCAGTACCCCTTCGAGTGGCTGACAGTGGTAGCAGGGCACCATCTAGTTCTTCTGGTTTCATGGTCATATAGAATAAGGATCACATGGTCTACCAGTCCCTTGGACTAATTGCTTCTATGCATCTTTGGTTTTCTTCATTCTTCTTTGCTCTGGATGAGGTGAGACCCATCGTTGCATCTAGATGGCCACTTGCAAGCTTTTAAGATCCCAGTTGCTACTCATCAAAGTAGGATGTAGAACCATGTTTTTATATAATATATTATGCCAATTGAGCTTGATGTCCCCTGCGACCATGATCCCGAGTCCAAAGATCCAACTGCTTGCTCCCTCCAGGTAGCTGCCTGTGGCCAAGAAGCCACCACAACCTTGTCAGCTCTACAATACATCTGGACATTCTTACAGCACATGCAAATACACATGTAGAAACATTATCTGCTAACCCTGTACATGGTCATGGGTGCGCTACCCCCCTGCCTAGATATACCTGATCATTCAGCCTGTCCATCCATCTATCCACCTGTATATCAGTGGTTGCCTTTACTGACAATACAGTACTGTACATGCAAAAGGGTTTGTTTCTGAACCTCCCTTGTACCTCTCTCTGTCTTCTTCTTCTTCTTCAATGCCACCATGTTGATCACTCACATTTGGTACATTGCCCTTTCCTTTACCCAAATCAATACTTGTCCCTATGTATCTAGCAGTGTTTGCTCTCCTCTCCTCCCACGCCTGGTAACCAACAAAGAAACTTTCCTTCCATATATAAATCTTTCCTTGACTTTTTACAATAATGTAAGAATGGACTATTTATTTCCATAGAGATACCACCTTAGAAACCCAAGGAGGGGTCTGTATGAGTCAGACTGAACTCAACAGTAGTGAGTTGGTTTTTTTTTTAGAGACTTCTAATACAATGTTGAATAGGAGTGATGATAGAGGGCATCCTTGTCTGGTTCCTGTTCACAAGGGTAACAGTTTCAGTTTCTCTCCATTTAGAATAATGTTGGCTGTTGGTTTTGCATATAAGCCCTTTATTATGTTGAGGATTTTCCCTCCTATTCCTATTTTGCTGAGAGTTTTTTTTTTTTTTTTTTTAATCAGGAATGTGTGTTGGATTGTATCAAATGCCTTTTCTGCATCGATTAATATGATCACGTGGTACATTTATTTATGTGATGGATGATGCTGATTGTTTTTCTAATGTTGAACATCTTGCATACCTAAGTATGAACCCCACTTGGTCATAATGTATTATTTTTTTGATATGTTGTTGGAGTCTATTGGCTAGGATTTTGTTGAAGACTTCTGTGTCTATATTCATGAGAGATATTGGTCTGTAGTTTTCCTTTTTAGTGATGTCTTTGCCTTGTTTTGGTATCAAGGTTATGCTTGCTTCATAAAATCAATTTGGGAGGATTCCATCCTTTTCTATGTTCTGGAATAGTTTGAGTAGTATTGGTGTCAGTTCTTCTCTAAACATTCGGTAGAATTCTCCAGTGAAACCATCTGGGCCAGGGTTTTTTTTTTTTTGTTGGTAATTTTTTTTATGATCTGTTTAATTTCTTCTTTTGCTATGGATCTGTTCAAATTTTCCACCTCAGTCAGTGTTAATTTAGGTAAGTTGTATGTTTCTAGATATCTGTCCATTTCTTCTAGATTTTCAAGTTCTTCATAGTACCTGATATTATCCTCCTTATTTCAATTGGTTCTGTTGTGATGTTACCTAATTCATTTGTTATTCATGTTGTTTTCTCTCCCTCTTTACCTTTGTTAAATTTTCTAGTGGTTTGTCAATTTTATTAATTTCAAATAGTCAAGTATTCTTGATTTTTTTCTATTGTCTATTTTCTGTTTCATTTATTTCTGCTCTATTTTTTTTTTTTTATTGTGATTTGGATGAAAGTTTACAGAGCAAATTTACTTTCCATATAGCAGTTCACACACACATTGTCTCATGACATTGACTATAATTTACCACAACAGAACATCTCCCCTCTCACATCCTCCACATAGTTACCTCTTCCCTGTGTTCATCCCTCCATGCAGTCCTGCCCCCTGGAACTATCTCCCTGTGCATAAACAGCCCTTCTTTATCCCATGATTTTTCTCTCCAAAAAGTGCATCTACCTCAGGTAAATGTTCAACTCATATGCCTGTCTTTTGTTTGGCTGGAAAACACAGGTGTGGGTTCAATTCCAGATCTGAAGGGCAGCTAGGGGCCATAGTCTCAGTGGTTCCACCAGGCTCTATCAGACCAGCACGTGGTCCCTCCACCCTTTTTTTTTTTCCAAATGATTTTGAGTTTGTTCCACATTGTTCTCCCTCTCTATCCAGGATCTCCTACATAGATCTCCCTCAGAGTGGTTGACAGTGGTAGCCAAGCACCATCTAGTTCTTCGGGTCTCATAGTTGTATAGGATGATGATTTCATGGTGTACCAGTCACTAGGACCAATTGTTTCCATGAATCTTTGGTTTTCTTCATTCTTCTTTGCTCCAGACAAGGAGAGACCCATCGTTGCATCTAGATGGCTGCTTGCAAGCTTTTAAGATCCCAGTTGCTACTCACCAAAGTAGGAGGTAGAACAATATTTTGTGTAGTATGTTATGCCAAGGGAGCTTGATGGCCCCTGTAACTACACTAATTTTCCCCTCTTTTAGGTTTGTGATTGTCTTCATTTGCCAATTGATGTCTCTGGTTCCGTTTACAGTCTTCTAAGTTTATCTTATTTTGGGTACTTCCATAACTGGGTTGGTTTCTGGGTTATGTCATCATGTGTGTTAATGGTTGGCTGTTGTTTGGTATTGTTGGTTCTCTGTCCAAAGGACTTCCTTTAGCATCTCTCATAAGGTTGGTCTGGTTTTAACAAATCCCCTTAATTTCTGCTTATCTGGAAATGTCCTAATTTCACCATCATATTTGAGGGACAATTTTTCTGGGTATATAATTCTTGGTTGGAAATTTTTTTTTTCTTTCAAGATTTTATATATACCATCCCACTGCTTTCTTGCCTATATGGTTTCTGCCAAGAAATCAGACCTTAATCTTACCGGTTGCCTTTTGTAGGTGACTTTTTGTTTTTCCTGTACTGCTTTCTGGATTGGTGTTGGCAAATTGGATGATATGTCTTGGTGATTTTCTTTCGAGGTCTATCCTGTTTGGGGTTCGCTGGACTTCCTGAATAGATATATTCTAATTTTTCATCTTATCAGGGAAATTCTCTTCTAATAGATCTTTGGCAATTTCTCTGTGGTTTTATTTGTCTCTTCCTGTTCCAGAATTCTGATTTCACATAGATTATTCCTCTTGATGGTATCCCACATGAATCTTAGGCTTTCTTCATTTTCTTTTTATCTTTTTTCTGGCTGATTCCTTTCCAAAGAAGTATTGAGGTATCTGTCTTCAATCTCACTAATTCTGTCTTCCATTGATTCCATTCTACTCCTTTGTGTGTTCAATGTGTTATCTATTTCTGAAAATTTAGTATTAATCGTCTGGGTTTCTATCTGTAAATTTTGTATCATTTCTAATTTTTCATATATTTTGTCATTTTGTTCTTGTATTGTCTTCCAAAACTATTCCAGGGTTTTGTCTGTGTTTTCCATAATTTTGTCAGTGTTGTCCTAATAATTTTAAATTGCCAGGTCTTATTGACTCTCTGGACTGTAAGCTGTGTTAGTGCTGTTAGTTGCCATCAAGCCTAAATTTTCCAAAACTGCCTTTGTTCACTGCTTGACGATTTTAAGAGGAAAGCAAGTGATTCATTTTTAAACTGGTATGGCTTTTCAGTATCACATTCCAAAGCCAACAATATATATTTCAGGAAAATTACACTGTCTACACCAGCACAAAATTCTATCCAATGCAATGTACCATATGTCCACTAACTGAATTAAGCTTCAGGGCTTATGTAATTAATCTGCAATCAAATTCATCTTCTTTTCTGGCAATAACTCCAGTGTTGAGTTGGCTATACCACTCTACCTTTAGACTTCTAATTCATAGGTGAATTTAGGAATATTTCAAGTCCTTAGTCAAAAAAGTATGATCCCTACATCATGCCACACAATATAGTGTACTATGAATATGTGGATATTGGAGTCTAAAAGAATAGGCTTAAATCCTCAATTTATTACATCCTACCTGTATGAACTTAAATTAGTTAATCTCTCTAAACTTGTTTCCTCATCAATAAAGGAATAATGCTGCTGTTATGTCCCATCGAGTCGGACCCAACTCACAGCGACCCCTCCTTAGGTTTCCGAGGCAGTATACTATGGAAGTAGATTGCCCCATCTTCCTTCCGAGGAGTGGCTGGTGGATTTGAACTGCCAGCCTTCTGGTTAGCAGTCAAGTGCCTTAGGCACTA